AAGGAAAGCGGAGTGGAGCTGTGTTCTGGAGCCTGAGAACAGCAGCTGTGACTGCAGGCTCAGAGCTGAGGCCTGGGCGGAGGAGCCAGCGCCAGAGATGAGGCTCCGGACGAGCGGAGCAGAAACTGCGACTCCCCTCCCACTCTGGGCCCTCCCACTGCTGCCCCACTGCTGACCCAGAGGGCCGGGGAGCCAGGCAGGTGTGCTAAGGAGTTGGTCTGGCGGAGATACAGAACAGAGCAGGGAAGGGCCCAGGCTGGCCGGTCGGGCAGGGGAGGCTGGGGCCACGGGGCGTCTCGGACCCAGAAGGTAACTGTCAGGATCTCTCCGGTCTGACTAGCCACTGCGGGAGATTCTGGGCCTGAGCTTGCTCTGTCTCGTATCAATCACGAGTGTGAGGACAGTGTTAAGGACATTCTCGACAAGCACAGACGCTTGTGATGGCGGTGGGAAGAATTAGAAAAAGAAGGAAACACTGAATGACTTTCCACTCGGATTCAGACGACTTAATGTGGTGGGACACACTTGCCACCTTCTCCCTGGTGACAGACACAGCCTTGGATTAGCACCTTAAGGTAACCCCCATCCTGCCACGGTGGGGCTGCGCGGGGGTGGCGGGACCGTCTGCCACGAAGCTGCCAAGGCTCCTCCGGCCAGTGCAGGCCCGAGGCTGGTGCTGCGGGCGGTGGGCACAGCCGTGTGCTGCACCTGCACCTGCACCTCTCCTGCTCCCTGGAGTGGCGAGCCCCGCCGATTCCTCCTCCCACCGCTTCCTCCTCCCACCGCTTCTTCCCTCTTGCTCCACACGCTTTTCCCAGGATCTCACCCAGGCCTCCGGCTACCGTCTATTTGACAACCACAGCAAATATTTAGCAAGCTCCTCTGCCTTGCCAAGGCCGCCACATCCCTCCTGTAGCACATGCAGCCTCTGCCTGGCAGAGTGGCCGCTGGCCGCTGCCTCTGCTGGCCCTTCTCGGGGATGCACGCCAGGCCTGTCTGCTCCCGCGCCCGGCGGGTAGACGGCCCCACTGTGGACTCCTGCCTCTCCCCTGTGGTCCGCTGGCCCTGAGCCCTCCCCGGGGGACTATCTGCTTGCCCTCACCCTTGTCATTGTCACGTCACGTGAGAAGCCTGTGCAGGCCTCCAGCACACACCCTTCCAGGCGCGCCCAGCCCAGGGCTCTTTCTGAGCTAAAACCTTCAGGGCTGCGCCTGCTTCTGCATCTTGGCTCAACCCCCCTGCCCCGGTCTGACTTCCAGAGTCCTCCAGCCCCATCTGCTCCTCTCCGTGGCTTCCTTCCTCGCCCTACCTGGTGGCTGGCTGGGCTCAGGCTGGCTGGGCACCAACGGCTCCTGCCCCATCCGGCTAGGTGCGAGCCTGTTGCAGGAATCCTGGTTCAGGCACCATCTGGGATGCTGGCGAGCGCACGGGCAGAGCCTTGGCCAGGAACCCCGCCCCAGACAGGCCCCGTGACAGCCCAGCAGAAGAGTGATGTGATTTCAAAGAGGCGGCCCTGTCCATTCTGCCAGCTACGACCTCGCTACCCACCACGGTTTTGCAGTCAGAGGCCTGGGCTTGAACCCCGAATCCTCCACGATCCTGCTGTGTAGATGTGCTGTTTAATCCGTCTGGGCGGGCTTGCTCACTTGAAAAACGGCGCTGCATTGCCTCCTTGTCAGGCTGTTAGGGGGATTTGTGCTGATAATGCCTGTGGCCACCAGTGGCTGAGAACAGACTCCCTGGAGGCCCCCCCGAGTGGAAATGCTCCCCTACACAGGTGTAGGGGGAATTAGAGGATCAGGGCATGGGGGGTGGTGGCCGTGGGGGATGCCACACTGGGATGTGGTGTCAGTCTGGATCTTGTGGGGGCTGCTTGGTATCACAGCTCAGAGCCGCGGGCAGGGCTGTCATTGGGTGAGAGTGCAGAGGAAAACATCTGTTTCTGGGATGAAGATGGTCAAAACAGACTCTGGGCACCCAAAGACTATTCTGCGAAGACAAATGCTCCCAGAGGCACCGGGAGATTGGTGGGACGCCAGCCTGGGCCGCTGTGATTGGACACATGAGAAAGGTCTAATATCTGTGGACCCTTATCATGCTTATTGTTGCTGCTATTAGCATAACAACAATTCTTCTTCTTTTTGGTGTTATTAATTTCCTTGACTTGGGTGGGCTGAAACTTTCAGATGGATGCATTAAGTCCAGTGGGAAGACAGCAAAATAAATCTGGCAGGAATAAGCAGCATAAATAACCCCAGCCCGGCATCTAGACACCAGAGTCTGGTCTTCCATGGCTAACTTGCTTCCGGGGCACCCTACTCCCCACCCTATTCCCCACCCCCTCTGAAAGAGCAGAGCTGGGCCCTGCACTGGGGGAGTGGGAGGGCTGGAGACCTGGCCCTTGGGAATGGGGGTGCGGGAGGGTGCATGGCTGAGTCAGCGAGCAGCGTCCTGGCAAGGGTTGGCTTGCAGCAGCGGAGACCGGGCCTCCGGGGAGGGCTGCCCTCCTGACGTAGCCTGGCTCACCCTGAGTCTCCTGCCTTCCTCCCCGCTGCCTGGCAGGGCTTGGGCCAGCGCAGGGCCTTGGAGGCAGAGAGGGTGCCATGCCAGGGGGTGTTTTCACAACCCCCAGGCTGCCAAGAGCACATTATTCTCTTGCAGAAATCCAAGGGCTCGCCCAGGAAGTGTGATATTTTTGTAGCAAAATAATAACAATAATAATGATAAAAATAAAGGAAAAAGAAAAAAGAAAGAAAAGTTCTCTATATCACTAAAAGCCCTGCTGTGCTAGGAGTGATAGTGGGTGTTTTAGAATCTGGATTCTTCATCAGGGAGCAGCCAGGGGCTCAGCCTTTGTTGCTTATTTTCTTCATTCACTAAATTGTCGATATTGGATGTCTCTAGAAAGAACAACTTGTGCAAAGGCAGAGAGGCAGGAAGGACATGTTTGACAGCTTCAGAGAACAGAGAAGCTGAAGATTCAGATTCTTGATTTTAAGTGGTAGAAATACTACCTTCTATCGGCATAAGTGAAAACAAGGCTAATGGATCGTGAGAAGAAAGTACAAATGACAGACAGCTTCAGACATGGTTGGATCTAGGAGCTCAATGAGTGTCATAGGATGTAGTCTTCCTCCAAGATGGGCTTTGCCATCCTTGGCATTAGCTGTGATCTCAGGAAGCCTCTTGCCACTTGGAGAGATAGCTCCATCCTTCCATCCTCCCAACCTCAAACCCAGTGGAAAGAAAGGAATTTGCTTTCCTGTTGTTCTAGCAAAATCCCTGTGACTGACTATCACTGAACTGTCTTGGGTCACGCTTCTATCTCTGGCTGACCAAGCCTGAGTCCACCATCCCTTCTCTAAAGCATGGGCTTACTCAGAGGTGGTTAGGGAGGCTTGAAGGGTAAACTGCACGATGAGTTCCAGCCTCTACTCTCCACCCTTATCGGAAATCTCGCTGCCTCCACAATTTCAATTCTCCATCTTGACTCTGTTTTACCTTAATCTCACTGAAGAGCCCGGGGTTAGATTTTCAGCCTTTCCCACGTTCCTCCTGTACAATGTACAAGTGCACATAAGTTGCATCTCACTACTTGCTTAAGATAAATCTTTATATTCTATGTAATTGACTCCTCAAATACAGCAATGCTGTTGGGGGGGTTATTGTCACCCCCATCTTCTAGGGAAAGAAATTGAGGTGTAGAGACTGAGCTGGGAGACATGAAGCTCTGGTTGACCAGCTGCAAGTCACGTGTTCAGCACGTGCGCTGGCTGCAACGGAGTGGTGTAGACTGAGAGAGAAGGGGTTCTCCAGATAAGGAACACGTAGGAAGGAGGGGGAGTAATGTAGAAGGGGAGAAGCAGCAGATGACCCTACTCTAGGTGGCAAGTGGTGATACCCCAGCTGGGCCCATCAGGCAACTAGGAAGATGTACTGGCTCAGGCAACACACAGACATTTTGAAGGCAAACTACAGGAGGGACTGGCGTGCAGCTGGTCTTCAGGAACAGCTGGACCCAGGTGCTTATGTGGTCAGAATGCTTGACTTTTTTTTTAAAAAAGGATTTATTTATTGATGCATACAGAACTAGGGTATAAGCCAGAGGTGCAGGGGTGGTGACAGGATTCACCCAAGACAGAGTGGGGAGCAGACCAGGTAGATGGATGAAGTACACTGCTGAGAGAGCAGCGGGTGGGTCAGGAGAGGTCTGCCGCGCCATGTGGGTCACCTCCGGGGCAGGGATCGAACTTGCACTGAAGCGGCTGCGGCCAGCTTGCAGTGCTGCGTCCTTACTTGTTGTGCTGCCAGGGAGGGCCCCGGAATGCTTGACTCTACCTGGGCCTCTCCTTTCTGCTCCAAGCTAAGGGTCCTGGAGACAGGCTTTGACTGGCCCACTCCAGGCCACACGATGAAACCAACCAGCTATGGCCAGGAAGTAGGACCATGAGCTCCAGGACAGCAATGATGCAGTTGTGGTGGTTTCTAGCAAAAAGTGGAGTGGGGGACAGGGCCGATAAAGATGTAGTGTAGGTGTCTGCTGAGCACGGTGTGTGTGCATGAGTTGGGGTGCTCAGACCTGCAGGTAACAGAGAACATCAGGCTGACCCATTTAACACAAGGAGAATGACTTCATGTGGAAAGACGCCTCTTAGCAGCAGAAGGGGCCCTTGGTGGCCCACGGCCCTCTCAGCAGCCCCTCCCAAGGCAGGGACCCTGGTATCAGTCACCCGGCAGCTGAGCGGGGGGTCTCACCTCACTTCTGGGGAGAAGCTCTTCCCAATGAACCTCTGGCCGCCCTGGGGCAGCGGCTGCCACCGCAGAGCGCTGTGGTGAGATGTGGCCTCCTGAGCAGTCCTGGTGAGGAGCCTGGGCGGCTGTGACCTCGCACCCCGGCGGGGGGTGCACTCCAAGTTGACGGGTCCCCTCAGGCTGGGGTGGGTGGGCTGGGCCAGGAGCGCCATGGCCTCGCTTCTCACGGCCTCTGCCTCTCTGCTCAGGGGTCCTGTGGCTGTCGGTGGTCTCCGAGGTGCTCTACATCCTGCTGCTGGTGGTCGGCTTCAGCCTCATGTGTCTCGAACTCTTCCACTCCAGCAACGTCATCGACGGGCTCAAGCTCAACGCCTTCGCGGCCGTCTTCACGGTGCTCTCAGGTAAGGAAGGGGGGGCCGGGCGGAGCCACCACCCACGCCGCAGCCCTGCGCGAGGGCAGAGGCCGGAGGGGCTCAGGACCCTCAGGGCCCAGTCCCGGCTGGCCCCCTCTGGTGCCCTTGGGCCATCCCTTCCCTTCTCCGAGCCTCAGTTTGATATCTATAAAGTGGGGGTTCTCTGCTCACTTACTTACTGCCCCCTGGCTGCCGAGTCCTGGGCTGCAGGAGTGAGACGCAGCTCTCCTGGCGCTCAGACGCCCGGAGGGCAAGCCCTGGGGAGAGCCCAGCTTGGGATGAGCCCCAAAAGGAGGGGTTTGTGAGAATGGGCAGACAGCGGTGCCCCTCACGGGGCCACAAAAGGGAGTGGTCTCAGCCACCCCAGGCTGTAGCGTCACTGTCAGTTCTCTTAGATGCAGAGAATTTTGGAGCCTCTGATAGATATTTACCTTTGATGCTTTTTGGTTTTTTAAAGATTTATTTATTTATTTGTGCATACAGAACTGGGGTACAGAGGTGCAGGGGCGGTGAGAGGCTTCACCAGAGACAGAGTGGGGAGCAGAACAGGCCAACTGACGAAGTACACTGCTGAGGGGAGCAGCGGGCAGGTCAGCAGAGGTCTGCCGCGCCATGTGGGTCACCTCCCGGGCAGTGGGGATCGAACTCCTGCTGCAGTGGCTTTAGCTTCTTAGTGCTGTGCCTTAGCCCTCTGCGCCACCAGGGAGGGCCCACCTTTTGTGCTTTTAATGCTGAATGTGCGGGCAGGCCAGCTTTGTCTCTCAGCGTTACTCTGGCTGTCTCCTCTCGTCTGTTCTCAGACGCTCCCCACCTCCCTTCGCCCCTGGATGTGGTGTCCCCATGTACATAGACGCACTTCCTGTGCTCTCTGGGCCCAGGTGGCCATAATTAGACACCAGTGTGCAAGCGGGTGCCGGTCCTATATGCTAACGGGGACCGGAAGGCGGGGGCACGCGGAAAAAGCCTGATACTTCATTTTCCCTGCAGGGAGTCTGTTTGGGGTGGAGGGCACTCATCTGCTTTGGCGGATTTTTCTTTTGAGATATCCGGGTGGAGATGCTCAGCAGGAAGCTGCATGAACAGACACATTTGGAAACGCAGAGTTGGGGCTGGGGGGAGGGGTGTGCAGAGATATGGTCAAGGCCTCAGAGTCAGAGAGTTCGAGGGTCTTCAGTAGAATGGGGGGGGGACCAGCAGCATGAGACTCAGGGGCTCGGAGGCAGAGGGCTCTGAGGAAGGCCACTGATGGGGCAGCCAGCGGCCCAGAGCAGCTTCCAACACGTCCAGGTGTTATGGGGTTAAGCGGGGAGTTTGCCAGGAGAGGAAGGAGCCATAAACCCTACCTTCCTGCACCTGGCAGATAGCGGGGTGGCTTGGCTGTGTAAGACCATCTGTTCCTAAAAAGCCCAACGTAAATTGAATTTCTATAAATCTAATCCTATTCTTCACGCATTGGAAAAACTCTCTATTTAATGAAACCGAAAGGATGAGCCTTTTCGAAAGGGAAGTAATTGCCCCCTAATTGAAGGAGGGATATATGACAGAGAACCCCTCAAAGAACAGTGCTGAGTTCAGGAATGGGAGCCGCACTCCGTGGGGGGGAGCAGGCGTGACTTGCCACTCCCAGGGTGTGGGAGAGCTAATATGGGCAGGGCAGGAGAGGGAAAACATGGGTCCCCATAGTGTAGTGATAATTTCCTTCCCACTCACCCCATAACTAGCTATTTGAGACCAAGCGCCTATTCCTTCTTTATCTTTTCATTTATTTATCACTTACCCACACAGTGTTCGTGAAGGCCTGTGGGAGACAGGGCACCGTGCTTTTGGGTTTCCGGGCGCCCGAGGGGAACCATTTAGGCCTCATCCTCCTGAAGACTGCAGTCTCATGAGACACAGCCTCGTAAATGATAATAAGATGTTGGACTGACCTCTGTGGACTGGCGTGGTGAAGGGGCCGGTCACCTTGTCCCAGGACCCCGGGGAGGCATGGGGAGGTTGCAACATGGGGCAGGTACCATTTGAACTGACACTTGGAAAGAAGGGGTTTGCTGGATGGACAACTTGCGAGGGCTCTCCAGGCAGAGAAACAGCAGGGCAAAGGCCTCGTGGGGTGACATTTTCCTCAAAGCCCAAGTTGTGCAGAATGGCCGGCAGTGGGCAGAGAGCAGACGCACCGAGCGACGAGTCTGGAGAGCGGGTGAGGGTCTTGGAGCTTTGCAGGGGTCTGTGCAGGAAGAGCTCAGAGCACAGGGTGATACGGTGAGGTGTGCACTTTGGAGCGCATTCGGGGTGTAGCGCAGATAGAGTAGAGCAAAAGTGGAGGGGAAGAAGCTGACTGGGAGGCAAGACGTACAGCGGCAGTGGGGAGGGGGGCAGGTGTGCACCCAGCAGTGAGCAGGTAAAAGGCTCATTTCCTGATTAGGGGAGCAGGTGGCCACGGAAAACAGAGGCCCAAGCTCATGTGTTTCTGGGGGGGGGGGTCCACAGAGCTCAGGGATCCTTGAGTCTGGTGGGGGGTCACTGGCACCTCTCTTTCTCTGCCCTGTAACATCCCCGAGTCCATCCTTCAGATGTGGACGGAGGCAGCGGCCACGTGGCACGCGGGTGTCCTGCCGTCTCCACTCAGGACTGTGGTTTCCACGTCGCCGGACAGCTGTTGCTGACATGGTGAAATGCGCTCCTGAACAGGGTACCGGTCACTTGCGGTTCCACTGAATCTCATGACCTCGGACGTTCATGAAGAGACACACGCGTTTCTGCATAGTAAATTTGTTTGACTATTGGGAACTGTATTTAGTGTGACTGGTTTCCCTCGTCGTCTTATGTATTTTAAATTTTGCAACTGAAAACCCTTCTGAGAAGGGATCCTATGTCCAGGTGGCCAGAGCCCCTGGGCTGGGTGTCCACTGGCTGTCCTTGGCCTGGGATGGGGTGAGCAGCCGTCTGCTGTGATGGGGAAGGTGTGATAGGGCAGGTGCAGGAGACGGTGGGATGGGGGGTGCAGCTGGGGTCCCTTCTCTCATATCTCCTTTTCTTTCCTTCCACCAAGCCTGAAAGAGCCCCTTGTTTACCCCAAGATCCAACCCTCTCCCTCAACTTGCTTATCCCAGTCACAAAACAAATGCCTGAGGCCAGTGCAAGGCAGCTCTCCCAGCCCGCCTCTTGGTGCCAAGATGGCGGAGGGGAGGGTAAAGCGGCCATGGGGGAGCGCTTGTGCTCTGCCTCCCAGGTCTTATCAAAGTTTTTACCTCTCTGACAAATAGATGGGAGTCCCACTGCTAAAGAAAATAAGGTTGTCTCCATCATTTCAGGCAGATAAACAATGCAGGCTTCGGGAGGTTAATTGACTTGCCCAAGGTCACACAGCTGGTCAGCGGTGGAGCTGGGATTAAACCTGCCCCTGCTGACTTCAAAGCCCTGCACTCTTTTTACAGGGTAGCACTGCAGGAGTGACCAGGCAGGGAGAAGACTTTCAAGTTCTCAGAAAACAGTAACTGAGAAGTATGTAGCAGCCAGATGATGTAATGAGAGCGAAGCAGCACATGGTGGAGAAGGGATTTGTATTTGTGCCTGTGAGAAGATTAACCCAGGAGAAACAGCACCCAGGAGGAAGCCTGGCGGGGACAGCTGGTGGGGGGAGCCAGAGGGGGACCCCACTGACAGGACTGTCCAACTTGCAACTGGCCTTCAGGGACACCACGCAAGTGGGCTCAGGGGCTTTGGGAGAAGGGTGCACTCTGACTTGTCCCCCCGGGAGAGGACAAGCACATTTCAAAAAGGGAGAGGGCTGGCTTCTGATGTTGCTGGACCCACTTGCACCCATGGGTTCCAGTCCAAGGTTAAGGCCTTCCAGGGCAGAGGAGGAAGCAGAGTTGTTGAGCCAGTTATTATAATGAATGACTTAACTCTTGTAATGAACCAATCGGCCACGGTTCATCTTAACAGTCAGTATAAACAAGGACAAGTGGCATCCTGTGTCACTGCCACACACAGGATCATTAGGTCCCCAAACACCAAGGTTCTCTACCCGCCACGGCATCCTTGGAGGAAGGGACGAATGTTGTGTCCATTCCACAGATGGGAAAACTGAGTTGCCCACGGCCCCACGGCTAGGAAGCGTTCTGAGTGGGGCTTAGAGTGTGGGGCTTCAGTTTGTCACCATTAGAGCCAGTGCCAGCTGTCCTTGAAGACATTGGGGGAGCAGAGTATGGCCCCAGGACCAGCCTTTCCCCAGTGATGGAGGGACCATGGGCTTTGGATTCTGGCTAAGGAGGCTGGAGTCAGGGCCTGGCCAGCTGACCTGTCTTCCTAGACCCCAGTTTGTGGGTCTGCAGGCGGGGTGGGCCTCCTGGCCCCGGGCCTAGTACTTATAGGACTTCTAAGGACCCACAGAAGCTTCTCATTTCAACTACTTTTAAATGAGAAGGAAAAAATTGTAATAATAATGAAGACATCAGGATGAATCCAGGCTGGGTTATATTTGTCTTTATACCACTGCAGTCATAAAATGTAAATTTTAATATTTCTTTTATGGAGGAATGGGCCCATGAAGTCATAATGTGGTCCCTTATTAGGCCACATGGCTCTTCTGGGCCCTTGGGACTGAGCAAGCCCAACTCCAGGGCGGGGGTGACTGCAGTGCCAGCGGCCCTGGGGCCCTTCCTGTGACTTCATGGGGAGGTGCTGGAGAAGAGAGGCTCTCTGGGCCATTGTCTCTTCCCCCAAGACCAGAGTCTGATATCGCAAAGGGATGCAGGAGTGAGCCAGGGTATGTCTGTTCTTCCTCATTTCCTCAAAAAAAAAAAAAAAAATCTCCTTAGGAAAAACAAAGTCATTTGGAACATTTCTGCACAGCCTGGCTAACTGTGGGTTTTTAGCAAAAATTGCATCGGCATAAAGAGGAACCTGTCCATTTCCAGGAAATAATCAGACTTCATAGAGAAGTCAGCAAGAGTCTATCTTGCTAAGTAAAGAGAAATGGAAATTTT